CGAATAAAGGCCCAAGGTTTCTTAATCTCACATTATACACTACCATTGTGGAATTAGGTACCGAAAGACCATCCCTACTATGGTTTTGGGGGCCTAGTTCCACCCTCTGGGTCTTTGAGAGCCGCCTTTGGATTGCGTAGAGCGCTGCGACAGCTACTAAGTGTTTGGCTTTAGGGTTTAGAGGATGGGTGTTTCGAATATCTGTCATACAATATCTGTCATACCAACCATCACAGTAAGACAATCATCATCATGGTTTTGGTGCAGCCATCGACATGATATACGTTTGTTCGTAACACGAGCCTCCCCATACTAAAACCCCCAAACATACACTCACCCGCGGTCATCTGGACCCTAAACACACCCACGAACCTCGGCAAAATCGACTCGGCTCTACTCCGCTCGAGGGGCTCATCCACAGCCGGCGGCCAGTACATCACCGTGCCAATGAGGTACAACAGCGAGCCCAGCAGGTAGAGAACGTGCTCCTGATTCAGCGGGCTTGACGAACAAAACTATGGGTTTCGAGTACAAAAACCATACCAAAAATAAGCAAGATACCGTTACTAACTATTAATTAAGACCCCTATATTCACCGGCTGCAAGAGTCAGGCGGACCAAGTGGGACATGTGTGCATTACACCGCATGAGATCTCTGAACCAGGCTTTCTATTTGATGGAAGTGACCGGACGACCCCTACAGTAGATTCACTCGTGGGTTGAGGCGTGCACACGGTCCGGGTGGGATTTTGGGGGAGCATTCTGCTGCAGGCCCTGCATGATGCTGGGGGTTCGCACTAACAACAGCCACCCGCAATGCCGCGACAATCATCAGCTACATCAGATCGCTACCCTGAACACCGAAAACTTCAAGCGAATTCGGGCGCGAGAGGTCTGAATGGCTATGAGTAGCCACAGAGGAGAGGAGACGCCTGAGACTTGGAAAGTTACACCAAGCTGGGAGCCTGGATCTTTAGAAATGTGGGGTTTCCGAAAATAGGGGACCCTAATCTAGTAACCTAAGCACTAGGATCCTTTTTATAACGACCCCAAAATAAGAACCCCCTTGTTTTTCGGAAACTCCTATGTGGAACCCAGAACGAGTTTGCAAAATCAGCGGCCGCACAGTCATCTTCCTCCTTCCTCGCCTATTGTAGGGGCCCTACATGAACTAGCAATTGTATCCCGAAAAAGGCGATGTGCAACTGCATGTTGCACAAAAAATGTACCACCAGCAAAACTTTTTCTACTAATCAAGGCCCTTGTTTACTACTTTTGGAGGACCTCAGACCCCTAAACCCTAAACCCCTAAACCCAAACCCCCAAACCCCTAAACCCCTAAACCCCTCTCTCTCTCTCTCTCTCTCTCTCTCTCTCTCTCTCTCTCTCTCTCTCCCAGGCCCTAAACCCCTAAACCCCTCAACCCTAAGCCTCCCAATTCGGATCGCGTTGGTTTTCAATGGAACTCGCTCTGAGGTTGAGGGTTTATCCAATGGCTGAGGGTTTACCCAAGGGCTTATTTGTTTTGGCTTTAAGGTTTGGGGTTGGGGCTCATCGTGCTTATGGCGTAGGTGTCAGAGCTGCGGGTATGGGCTTTAGGCTTAGGCTGAGATCGGGCTTCGGGGTATCGGAGGTGAAAGCTTGCGGGAACTGCCAAGCTTCAAGAGACTCGAAGGTGAGGATGTTGTCATGGAAGTGGACGGCCTCGCACAGCGTGTAGAGGGTGATCGCGCTGTAGACAAAGCTCCCTAAGATGAACCTCAGACATGGGTTCACAGGGTGGCGAACAGAACGCGGGTGCTCGCTCTTGAATGCTAGACCTGCATCTAGCATCTAGATGGCACCCCGATGCTAACGACCCTTCAAGGAGTGACTTTGCGGGCCTAAGAAGTACAGAGCTTTTCTAAATCAATCTTGGTGAACAGACTGCAGCCGAGCTTGAAGACAGCCATGTCGTGTGCAAAGGCTGGTAGAAAGCAAAAGCTGCCTGCCACCTCAGACGGCAGGTCATTCTGATCGCCATGCTGGCAAGCAGGGTGCCGCTGGCTTGTTGGAGCTTAAGCCATCCGATCATCTTGTGTGGAATCTTTATCTTTCAATACTGAAACCGCCACAGAAGACTCCCTTGTTTCTTGAAACTTCACTCTCTTCACTGGATGTGGATGTGCGAGAGACCAAAACCAACACAGAGATGCCAACCTCTACCCCCCCCCCCTTAACACCCTAAGTAACCTGAGGCGAGCTGCGAAAATGACATTTGCCCCAAGCTCCACGAACTCGATGGCATAAGCTGCACGGGCGTTCGATCTCACACCACTGCCTCCGACAAGAGTTCACGCTGCATTTGAGGTTTCAGGGTTGCCTAGTAGGTCTCTAGTTATCTACATGATGGGCTGCTGGGATACATACTATTACTCATTGCAGAGCCCTAAGGCATTTTAGGGAGCTTTTAACCTCGTCCGCAAATGCGTGTTTCTGTGCTCACACTCCTATTTTCGTTGCTGCTGCCGATGGTGCCGCGAGGAATACATGCCTATAGAGCCCCTAAAAACCTAAACCTCTAAACCCTAATCAGGGGTTGGCTTCGGTCGCCAGGCCTTCTTCGGCTTCCTTACCATCCTTCGTGCTGGGCCGCACGAACGCAGCATTTCGAATACGCTCCAACACGACGTGCGGCATCAGAAGCCTTTACCTCGCAGCACGAAGACAAAAAAAGCTTAGGGTTTTAGGGCTGCGGGGCCTTTTCGGATTTAGAGTTTAGGGTTTAGGGCCCTTTAGGGGCTTAGGGGTCTAGATTCCAGATGGTTCTAGGGTTCAGGGGTTTTGGGTTTAAGATGGTTCTAGGGTTCGGGCTTGGGGTTCTAGATGCTTCTCGTGTTCAGGGGCTCAGGGTTTACACTTTACACTTTGGGGTTTAGCTTTAATCTTGAATTGCAGGTTTAGGGTGTTCAGAGCTATATTGCATTCTGGTCTATGTGGCTTTCTCAACCAGAGAAACACTCACTGGAATGATGTCGCTTGAAGGATCAACCGGCTTGGGATGGAGGAGGTTATACGTGCTTTCGCTGTGGTATCGTAACAATTAGCCTCCCTCTACCCACTTTACTCATTCCCTGCATGATGCAAGCATTCGGCAAGACTCCGCAAATTGAACCTCTCCCGGGCCTCAAAACCAATGCCCAGAAGAAGGGATGAACAAACGCCAGTACAATCTCACGTTGCCTTTCAACTTCTTACAGGTTTAGCTCGCCTCTTACATACAAGTAAGCAGGATAACCGGGGCTATGTAGGCTGATTACGACAATACTTGTTGGCACCTTCGCAACGGTCTCACGATCCTACAAGTTGGATCCAGTATTTGGCTCTGGTTGCACAAGCTTCCTGGAATACAGACCGATGCATCTGAATCGACAACTCAAGCCCGAAACCGCGCCCATGTGGGCCTGCAGGGTTTGTGGGGGTAAGGGTCTTTGAGGTACTATAGGAGCCTAAAAAATTACAAATACTATTTTGGGGGCTCCTTATTATAAGTATACTATAATGGGCGCCAAAACCCTTCTCATCCAGAAATGAACCAGGGCCCGCTTTCCGTATCATACTAGATACTCGGCAGCTACCCTCAACGGAATCTTGGCTTCGAGCAGCTCGCCACCCTAAACCCTTATATAGGCGCCTTAATATTTGCCTAGAATTTGTTGGAGGTTCCTTCTTGCAGTGATGGCATAATACATCCCCAAACCCTATTCTCATTATTAAGGCCCCTATGCCGCAGCCCTCCAGTGCATCGAAACCGCCACATTGAATGGGACTTTTCTCGCCCCGGCGGAAAGCCCCCGGCTTTGAGCAGCTGGGAGCCGACAGGTCTACGGCGCAAGCAAGCTTTTTGGTTTAGGGTTTAGGGTTTAGGGTCTTAAAGGATCATGGGACTTAGTAATTAGGGTTATAATTAGGGTAACTACACTTATAACTACTTATAAGCCCAATTAAGGTACTTATAACCCTACTTACTAAGTCCCATGATCCTCCAAGTATGGGTGGTTGTCAAAAGTAGGGTCCCTTTTTGGGTACCCTAAATAATAGGTGCCGTGCTCTAATAGGGGCCCAGAAAGGGATCATAATTTTGACAACCACCCTTATAGGGTTTAGGATTTAGGGCTTTAGGGGTTTAGGGATATAGGGGCTTCAAGCATGAGAACAAGGTCTCCTGAAAGGATTCTTAAGTGGGTTCCTTCAAACTCAGGGGTTCTACAGGGCTTGGGGCTTGTAGGGGCCTAAGAAGTCGAACAGGGAGTTGGGGAAAATGAGACTGTATTGACATGATAGTGGTAATCAATTATCTGCGTCCCTATACAAACGTCCACTACGTACTGCAAGGCTCTAAGTTGTGAAGGCCGAACAGTTGAACAAGGGCTCCATTTCTGCAGCTGGAAGAACACAGGTTGCAGGGTGTCCCAAGCCATCTGCATGCTCGTGATGGCTATAGGGGCCTGAATAATTAGAATGGGGATCTGGGGCCAATATACAAGAATAACAACTACAAACTCCCAAGAAATGGTACTGGCAATTATTTAGGCCCCTGTACTACTGTGGTGAACGCCCTAGAATCCCTAGAAAGTCCAATATCCCTTAATCCAGAAACATATCTTCAATTATAGTGGGATCCCTTATGACATTAAGGAATGTTCCTTAATCAAGGGATATTGGAGTCTCTGACTGATTCCTATCCCCAGACATCACCGCTGTCAGCAATGCAGCCGACAAATCACTGTTGACCCGGGATCCTTGGAAGGTTAACTCTGTAGGAATATCGTTCCTAAGTATTAGTAGAAGAAGTAGCAGTAACTAATATGGGTGCCTAAATACGTAGAAACGGGGTTTTGGGGCCCATTATACTATACGTTATAACTTTATAGGGAACCCCCAAGAGAGTATGCGCAAATATTAAGGTTCCTAGACTAGGTGGTAGTTCGTCACTGGTCGTCACACTGAGGCAAGCTGTCCAGCTCCGTCCCCGCGGCTTCAAGAACTGGCTCCTTGGTCGTGCATGGGGTTTGGGAGTAATTAGGGTTTAGGATGTTTCAGGAAGGTCGCCAAAAATTGCCCAAGAAAACACAACTGCCAGCACTGAACACAAGGGCCAATAAGCCCTAAACCCTTATCCCGGAGATATTGCACATCGCACCATGGCAGCACACCCAAATACAAATGGTTTGGTCTCGATTCTCACCACTGCGTTCGAGTACATGTGGTCCAACTAGCAGTGCCCAGTTGCGGTTTAGGGAGCTTAGGATTGAATGTCAAGCTAACCCGAAGGTAGACTGGAACAGAGCAAAACAGAACATAAAGGATAACAAACCGAACCTTGTAGGTATTCCCAATTGGTCAGCTTTATGTGGTGCTCAGAACCGTGCTGGAAAAAGTAGCCGTGGTCCAAACATAACCACAGCCCTAAGGCCCTAAGGCCAAAACATGAAGATCCTGTCACGATGCCGAACTATCCAGAATCTTTAACCAAGAACTCTGAATGCAATCCTGCAAGTGCTAGGCTTCAAGCCACGGAAGCCCCGATTCCCGATCAGCGCTCAAGCGGAGTCTCGTCACGGCAGCTCTGGCGAGCGAAGGCGGCGTGCGCCGCCACCAACGCCGCCACGTGACGAGGGTCCGGACCCAATTCCCTCAGCTCAGAAGTGCCATAAGGATCGCTCCGATACCCTAAACCAAAATCCCTAATGCCTCTACCTTAAACCAACCCAAACAAAACTGCGATCAGCTACACCCTTACACCCTAAAGCCCTAGACCCTAAATTCTTTGAGAGCCCAAAGACCCCGATCAAAGCACAGCGCCGGCTTCACCCTATATGCTTGAACAAAAGCTGGTCAATTATATATATATATATATATATATATATATACATAGACGTTTATATGTATGTATATACATATATGCACATCTGTATGCGATATGATGGTATGTGATTTGGTAGGACATCATACGTGACGTGGCGTGACACGCGGTGTGTGTGTGTGTGTGATATGATGTGCCTTAATTGGTATGGTATGGTACGACATGGCATGATATGATACATACCAATATATAACAGTAAACGCCTATGATTGTCGTTGCTACTATCGCACGGTTTATTATTTCATATTGTAGCTCTAGCCTAAAAGCAGCCATGTCATTCCGGCCAGGCACTCGCCCGTCGCACTGCCTCTGCAAGCAAGGCAGCGGAGTGTGTGCTGCTGCAGTTCTGGAAGAACCTGGACCAGAGAGTGTTGGGGCCTTAATAGACAAACCCATAGTAACGATAATCATGAACAGTTATAGTAACCACTACCATTAATCGCAGTACTACTTTCCTATTAATATAAAAAATAGATATAGCAAATAACCGGGGATGTATTCTGATTTATAGGTTCAGCAGGTCTTACAACTAAAGATCTCGACCAATAGAAATCACACAAGCGTTCGGTTATATTATTATTACCCTGCAGCGGTACAAGTCGGCATCTACGATAAGGGGATACTAATACCACAAATTCCTGCCGGCGCTAGAGTTGGCGGCTTAGGTGTGGGTTTTGGAGCTTCGGATTCAGAGCCACAGTTGTTTGGAGCATGTCGCGTTTTCAGAAGCGAGCAGGGGCAAAGAACCCTACATGGTAGAATTCGGCAAAGGCTTCCCTAGTGTTTTGTGGGGGAGCTCTATAGGGCTACTATAGGGATTATATGGGGTCTGCTGGGATCCTTATCATATGAGGATTATCTACCCAAGGAACCACGCATCTTAACAAAAAACCACAAAACTAAGTGGTAGGGACCATATCACAAGTACACCTGGCTAGCGGGAAGAAACAGGTACCTCCTTGAACCAAGCCAGTTGTAAACCACGGCAAAACAAGCCAATCTAGGTTTTACGGCACCCACAAGGCCTGCTCTTTAACAGCCCGTTCCCCCACTCACCTAAGCCCTACTTCGAGTTTTCCGGGCCGGAGCCTGCTTGGGGCTGCCCTTCGCCGTAATCTTTCAAACCCAATCGAAAGAAAACCTCCGAAGGAGTTTAGGGTTTAGGGAATCTCGAAAACACTGAGACCCACATCATCGAACCTCTTAGAAAAGTTACAAGCCCTGGGGGGCTAAGTCTAAGTGCTTCAACTTAGCATGTGCTCCTGAAAAGGCAACCGTCTTTCAGGCCACTTGGCTCGCAAATGCATATTTTGAGTTCTGGCACCCTCCGGCTTCAATCGTGCCGCCTGCCTCCTCTCCAGTGCGCGGAAACGGACCAACACAAAACAGTACAAGGCAAAACACATCAACTCAAACACAACACAGCACACGACACCACAACACAAAAAAGTACCAAAAGCAAGACAAACCAGACAAAAATTGACAAAACAGCAAGATAAGACTATAAGACAAGCCACGACCCTAAACCCTAAGCCCTTAGGTTCCTTGAATCCTAAACCCTAAACTTACTTAAACCCTGAACCCTAAACCCTAAACCCTGAACCCTAAACCCTAAACCCTAAACCCTGAACCCTAAACCCTAAACCCCAAAAAAGGGCTCGAGGCCCCCCAAAAGTCAGAAAGGCGCCTCCGTGCAGCGCAGCCGAGCCAGGCCGGAGAGCCCCGAGGCGAGGTCGATGAGCCCTTTTTTGGGGTTTTTAGGGTTTTTAGGGTTTTTAGGGGTTTTAGGGGTTTTAGGGTTTTTAGGGTTTTTAGGGTTTTTAGGCTTTTTAGGGTTTTTAGGGCTTTTAGGGTTTTTAGGGCTTTTAGGGTTTTTAGGGTCTTTAGGGTTTTTAGGGTTTTTAAGGTTTTTAGGGTTTTTAGGGCTTTCAGGGCTTTTAGGGTTTTGGGTTTTGGGTTTTGAGTTTAGGTTTAGGGTTACTTTAAGGGGTCCTTTAAGGCTTACTTTGAGGGGTCCTTTGAGGGTTCCTTTAATGCTTACTGTAAGGGGTCCTCTTCTCACAATCTCTGAGAGTATGGCTCTTATTTTTCCCTCCTACTTAGCAAGGACCAAGCCCGCAGGGGCTAGGGTTTAGGGAATCACTGCGAGTGTAGGGTTTATAGGGTTTACGGCCAAAAGATCGATATCTATATCTAGTGCTTATAGGGGTGCAGAAAAGTTTTCGACTTAGGGTGCCCTCACTACTCTCACATTTCGAAGCTCTTGTCTAGACTCTAGATGGTATGGTGCAGAACTGATATAGCAACTACTCCACATATGGTCACATACGCCGCATACTCCGGAAATTACGTGTGCTCAAATGAAAACATGCTGTAAGCAATCCAAGATGCGCGTTGAAGCTTCAGGTTGTAGGGTCACTAGTTTAGGCAGTTTAAAGTTTAGGGCCTAATTAATTGTTCTTTTGTCGATGTCGGGGTAGTGTTCCAAAACCCGAAACCCTAAACGCCTAAACATAAGCCCAACTTTGAACCCTAAGCCCGAAACCCTAAACCTTGAACGCTAAACCCCTAAACCCCAAACCTGCGCGCGTGGAGCTGGACATGACGGTGATTTTCGGGTGCTTGAGCGGAGGTTGTGCTTGGACAGATCGGAGGCTTTGATTGGTTGAGGGTCTACGATTTAGGGCTTAGGGTGCAGGGTTTAGGGTGTAGGGTTTAGGGTTGCTTTAGGGTTTGGTTTGGATTCTCGCAACTCGGTTGATGAGGGTTTTGTCATGCTTCGGGGCGAAGGGGTTTGGAGTGACAGCGCAAAACCCAACGGACAGAGCGTGGGCTCGTAGAAGAATTCTGACAAGGACTAGGGCGCGGGCTCAGAGAAGAATTGTTGAATGTCATTCCGAAGTAATGCCACAATTACGCGACTGATGGCACTTGCCTTTGTGCTGTGGAGGGTGCTGGAGGTGTTGTTGATAAGAACGATCCTTCTCAGGTTCAACGTGAAACCGTTCACCCTAAATCTCGTTCTTTTGATCGACACCCTTCCCCTACACCCTACATCTAAATCTCAAACCAGTATATAAGTCTTTGAAGCCCAGTGACGGAGATTTACAGCTGCAGCTGCAAAAGCGGGCGCGGCCACCGATGCCATAGCCCGCCAGCGCTCGATGCCAGGGGCTGCCTTGCTGCGTTTAGGGTGTAGGGTTAGGGCTTGTAGGATTTAGGGTTGATTGTTTCAAATTGAGGGCTCAGTGCTTAACTTTACTTTGAAGGCTTACCGCGTACCACAACCCCAAGTAACTTACCTCTATGCGGATTTCTAAGCACATTATTTATATTAAGGATCCCTAAGAAGTTAGCCTTTATAGGGTCCAGGTAGGGTGTAAGCAAAGGGGCGGGCTTCAAGGGCCGAGTGCTTTCGAAGTCGGTTGTAATTGGGGTATCGTGTAGTGAGGAGCCCGCTTGGCACAATAGGGATGATAACCAGTACAAAGCTACTTAAAAGCTACTGGCCACGTCCCCTGAGTCCTGCTTTTGGCTCCCTTGGCCTTACACTCTAATGCCCGAAGCCCTGTAAAATCTTAGAGATCAAGTTCAGGTTTGCGGCTTTCAAGGCACATTTCAAAGTCGGGGAGGGGAGGGAGGGGGCGTTGATAGAGGTTTGGTTGTTTTTTACAAAGACACTCGGACAAGCCTGGAAGGGTCTGCAGTTGTAGGTTCGGCGACTTCGTTAACTACTCACTAAGTCAAACTTTTGGAGCTTATAGGGTTTAGGGTTACGTGTACTCGGGCGTTCACGGCAATGCTCAACACGACTTTGACTGCCTTGAAGTGGTTGTGATTGCAAACTCCCAAAGGGTCCGATGTACCTATATAGTAGAATGTAGGGTTTCTATATTAGGAATTCTTATTTTGAATGTAGGTTTCTATATTAGGAGTTCTTATTTTGAATGTAGGTTTCTATATTAGGAATTCTTATTCTGGTTTGGGGAAGTATCCCCTGTAACAGTACCTGGGACCCTGCGGGATTGGCTGCCGCCCCGAGCTGTCAACCCAGAGCCGAACTTCCAATCCCAAATCACTGGTAACTCCCTACTTGGAAGGGCAGGGGACTTAGTAAGTAGGTTATAAGTAGGGTTATAATTGGGGTAACTCCATTTAAGGTACTTATAACTCTACTTATAACCTACTTACTAAGTCCCCTGCCCTTCCAAGTAGGGTTCAGCGTTTAGGGTGCATGGGTAGTTGTTAAAAATTATGGTCCGTTTTTGGGTATCCTAAATATTGGGTGCAGTATTGTATTACGGACCTAAACAGGGACCACAATTTTGACAACCACCCGCATGCAAGATGCGAGTAGACCAAACCTGTCGTCCGTTCGGCTGGGCGCTTTCATAACAGTCAGACTAATGACTCGAGGTTCGAACAACATAAAGAGTCAAACGGAACGGGACAACACTGCAAGCCATCCAAAACTCCCCAAACCTTCCACCCTCAACTAACTCTAGACGCAGAAGCCCAAATAGTATGGAGCCTCCTTCGTGCGTCGCCGCTGCCTGGCAGCCTCTGGCCACTGGAGAAGGGCAGGTTCTCGAAAAGGAGGAGCACCCTACAAACCTTGCCTGAACCCAGACAGAGGTGTGACAAAACTAGGCTTTCCTTTGAGAATTCCGAAAACTAGGCGGGTTATTTGGTGGGAAGGAAGGTAAAGGTAAACCCTAAGCCCCTAAGCCACCAAAGCTTTTGGCTCACAGAGCAATGCCGACTTGGTGAGATTCCTCCGCACTTGGGTGAAGTTCTAAAGCTTTCGGAAGATGCACCACATGAACGCACAACCAGAACCCCTAAGCAAACAACAAGCCTTAAATTCAAGCACATCCACTAAAGAGATGAAAACCACACAGCATGTTCTAACCATCAGATGCACCCTGAAACAACACCCGCCCGAAACCCCTGGCACTATTCGTCATCATCATCCCCATCATCACTACCACCACCACCATCATTATCGTCGTGGTCATAATGATCACAGTAATCACCGTCACCACCGTCATTACAATCATCATTGTCATCGTCATCATCATCATCACTCCCACCACCATCACCATCGCCATCACCGCCATTATTATGACCACCATCATCATCGTCATGATTGCTGACCACCACGCGAAGTCGCATCGGCACCATGCTGGCTTGCAAAGCCATGGCAACTTTTGTTGTTAACTCTGTCTTGTAAGCCCCAACACTGAACCTGTTGGACACTGCAAGGCCCGGAATAGAAGAACTCAGCCGAAGGTATACTACATGTTTAAAGATGTTCTAGCAATGCTTGTAAGCTTGAGAAAGCATCCTTGATCAAACTTCCTTCCCTTTCACCCTTTCAAAGTCAACTTCACTGACCTCGCCCCGCGCCGCCAGCTTCCCCAAGGCATCGAGAAGCAAGGAAGCCGCAGCGGCCTGTCATTGACAAGTTTGGAGTTTAGGGTTTTGGGTTTACAGATTGATTTGGCACTTCAAGTGTTCATCGTCATGATTCGATGATTGATTATACTAAAAAATCCTCCAAAGGAGTATCAAGCATGTTGTTTCGTTATGGTTCCAAGGCCGATTAATGAAGATCTTCAAAAGATGTTGAAAGGGCGTTTGACAGTTTTTAACCCTGCTGAGGTACTGCAGGGTCTGGGTTTAGGTTTCTGGGTTCGGAGCTTTGGGTTTCGGGTTCTTGGTGTTGAGGTGCTCGTACTCCTGGATCGAACGCTATCACCGCTCGCTAGGCGTTCCTGACCCCCTAAGTAAGTAATCTAGAAGCCAGAATAGTTGTCGATATTATTGTGCTGCTACTTTTTATGTGCATGCACATAAAAAGTAGCAGCACAATGTCCAGGCTAACACTGATCAACAGCTGCTTACCGCAGTTGTATGGCTGACGAGTGCCTAAATGGCACGAAACCGGTACCCGTAGATCAGTGCCCGAAAGCGACGCTTGCGCTCCTTCCTTGAGTAGTGTGTTGACGCACGTTGTAGCTTGGCCATGGCTTTTCTGTCTGGTTCAGCTGGCTTTCCCCATGGTGTTTCTTTAGCACAGGGGAACGTTTCGGAAGGCGTGCGTACCGCATTGGGGGATCAAGGTGGAGAACATCCGTTGTTTGATGGTCGATCTTCAGTGCCGCGTGGTTCATCGTTCCAACGTGCATCTTCGTTACAAGCTCGTCCAGCCCCATATCCTGTTCAGAGTATTCCAGCTCCAAATGAAGATTTTCGCGAAGCTATAGCTTCACATGCCAGGGCACCTTCGAACAATCCTGCACTGCTTGACCCTATGCAAGTGCAAAACCAACAAGTTGATACCGAAATGGATCCACTTTTGGCAGAAGTTAACAAGCTGATCAATGATTTGAGTTTTGAGCCAGCATTGCCTTTGACGAGATCTGAGTTCACAGACGTCTCGCTCGACACCATCCGTCTTATGGGCCGGGCAGATGAATTCATCAAGGATGGCATTTTCAAAGACATGGTGCCCGAGTTTATAGACAGAACCAGCAAGACATATCATGGCGAATGCGACGGCCTACACAGGGCCCTCCAAACTCTCAAGGCGGATGCTGCAATGTATGCACAAGGCAAATGGCCGAAGCCACTGCAGCACAGATCGGGTCAGCAGTTCAAGAAAGAGATGAAAGACGAATTCGATGCAGCCCAAAAGCAGGCTGACGACAAGAAGGCCATGGAAGACTTTAAGCGCAAAATCGATGCAACAAAACAATGGGTTGCTTTGAAAGCTAAGGATCTGGAAACTTTGACTTTTATTCGCGCGAAGCTCGGCGAGTTCTATGACAAGATGCTTGAAAATCAAATGCGCATGAACCAGAACGACATGCAGAGGATGAGAGCTCATGTGGTTTGCATTCTTTTTGCCAGCTTACCAGAATACATGCACAAGGCGGCGAAGAAGTACACAGATCGAAGCAAGAACAAGGAGGACTCCGACAAGAAACGTGCCGATCGGAACACAAATTCGATGAACTTATTCAGGCGTACCCAAAGGTTGCTTTAGCGGTTTTCTTCCGAGAAATGGAGGAGCGTTTGATTTCTGTATGTTTAGCCACGAAAGAGCAAATGGAGCAAGAATATCGTCGTGTTAGGCGCGGACAGCAGTTGACGATGCTCGAGGACCAGGTCTACAACATGAAGTCCGATTTGCAAAAAAACGGCTTGGCCCACCTGGACTCAAGGATGACGAAGATTTTCCAGCAGAGCAAGTCCAAGGTGAAGGGCAACATGGTTGGCTCTGCTTCAAAAAGCGATCAAGACAAGCATCGTCGCAGCAACAGCGCAGCATCCAAACACAAGCACAATACTCCCAGTCGAGCTCGGAGCAAAGGCAAAACAAACAGAAGCACCAGCAGAAAGAATCAAGCACCCGCAAGGTCCGCTTCAGCTCACCGTCGGCAAGCGCAGATGAGAACAAGTTCCAAAGCATCGCGACAAGACGCAAAGACATCTTCTACGAGAGGACGATCCAGCTCGCAGCGGCAAGTTTCAGCCAACCGAGATTCAAAATCAAGGCAGTCAAAAAGTTCCGCGAAATCTATGACAAGCCACCGCAGCTTCAGCCGCCACACATCCCGCAGCAAAAGCAGGCAGTCGCAGCACGGCAGCAGGAACAGCAGCCGCAGCAATGCAAGCCGCGTGACATGGACATGAACCTTCGAAATCTCCGCCGTTGCCATTTTGGCAACAAACGCCGCGGACACCAAAGCAAAGCTACACCCCATGTACAGCGTGAATCGCCCCGCAACCTTGCAGCTCTTTTCTTTGAGTATGTACAGCAGCTGACCTTGGTTGATCTGGTTTTGATTCGGAAGTTCGTTTCTTTGCATCATACAGATATTGATCCAGAGACTTTTCCTCCAGCAGCGCAAACTCTGCTCGTCCTTGGAGACAAATTCATTCCTTTGGCGCGGTTTTGCCGTGCATCTTTCCAGTCATCAGTCCGAGAACTTGTACGCAAAGTCAAACTACGGCTTTTCTTCGACAGCAAGCCCAACAAGCAGCAGAACCACACTCCTTTCTTCAAGAGGTTCCGATTGCCTTCATCTTTCAACCCGAAGCTGAATGCAGAGATCGAACAAGAATTGGAGTCATGGTGCGAGGGTTTATTGTCAAAGGCCAGCAGCCTCCAATCCTGGGAGCCGCAGCCCACAATGCCGTTCTATATCAAAAAAGCTCTTAGCTGGCTTCAAGCTAACAGAAGCTCTGTTTGCAAGATCTCAGCAGACAAAGGATATGGTCCTGTTTACATTTCTGCAGGTTATCTTCGCAAACAGTATCTTCGGGAAACCGTCGATGGTGCCTTCACCGAAGTTTCAAGCAACGAGCTCATGTGGTCTTTGATTTCAGCATATGACCTTTTGCGATCCCTTTGTGATCGTGCTATTCAGAACCACTTGATTGATGTTGGGACGATGAACTTTATTCTACAGCCACTCCGCGATCTGGGATTCCCCAATCCAAGCAGAGCTTCATTACCTGCAGTTTTGACATGCCTGGGCAAAATCCGATATCTCGTGAAGCTACACAAACCAGGATGCAAGTTACGTCGAGTCGAGGTTGATACGCGGTCCCCCTTCAACAATCTGACGATCTTCGTTTCCAGCATTTTGCGAAAGGTAATTTGCATTTGCGAGACAACGGTCATGGACTCGAAACAAGTCTTGTTGGATTTACTGGACCATCCACCTCCACTCGGACATGATACTCGTCAGTTGGTCTTTGTAGCTGCCGATTTGGAAGATTTCTACCCACGCATAAACTTGGATTCATTGCAGGTTTCGCTCTGTTCTGGATTGGATAACTACTACGGCGTGAATCAGGCTGCCAAGGACTTTGTTGCGAAGCTAGTCCTCATCATCCTGCACAACAAAGCGGTTTTCATCAATGGCAAGGTCTACAAGAAAGCACGGTCTTTAAGTATTGGTGAGCGCATAGCTACCGATGCTGCAAACATACACCGAGAACATCATTTCAGACCTCTCGTGAGTCAGGCTTTCGAAACTGGGCTACTATCCAAGTATTATGGTTATGTCGACGACACCGCCAGTATTTTCCTTGGAAATCAGGCTACTGTTCAGTCTTTCTTGTCAGCTCTTCAGCGCGTTGACACCGAGCAGTTCAAATGGACTTTCAAAGTGTCATTTTCTCGACTCGATTTCTTGGATCTTTCCATCAGGTATGACGGTCAGCAGTTGAACACCTTCGTGTACCGCAAGCCACAACACAATCCACAGTATCTTCATGCGTACAGTGAGCATCCTTTGCCATGTCGGAAACATATCTTCAAGAGTCAAGTCGCGAGATTTCTGATATTGAACAGCACGGAGTCTGGTTTTCTTGACGACGTGGAATCTATGCGACGACAGCTCGCAAACAGATTGCATCCAGAATCATGGCTTTCACAGGCTACTTACGATGTGGATCGTCGGATGACTTTGTTACACAAGCTTCGAAATCGGCATCTTCGGTGTGAACCTGAATTCCCGTCGACCTCTTCAGTGAACTGTATTGTCTGCAAGCTCGAGTACAGTAACGTGACCAAACGGCTTGGACTCCAAAAAGCATGGAACATGCTGAAAGCTAAATTGTCACGTTTTGAAGCGTATAAACAGTCAACACTGCCTGAGGCTACGTTGACAGTAGCATGGAAATGTTCTTTCAGTCTTTTCCGGCAAACCTACCGGTACAATTTCGTGCCGGGGTGAGGGCTGGGTGGGCTTTTTATGTGCATGCACATAAAAAGTAGCAGCACAATGTCCAGGCTAACACTGATCAACAGCTGCTTACCACAGTTGTATGGCTGACGAGTGCCTAAATGGCACGAAACCGGTACCCGTAGATCAGTGCCCGAAAGCGACGCTTGCGCTCCTTCCTTGAGTAGTGTGTTTACGGTCCCCTATCAGAAATATGTTGTGTAACATCCCCAAAAGCCCTAGTATAACTATTAAGGCCCCGGTACTGTAGAAAACGATAAGCCCCAAAACCCCCAGACTGCCGAAGCTTCCAACCCCAACCCTAGGACTCGTATGGTGGTTGTCGAAATTAGGGTCCCTTCTTGGATCCCGCTTATAATACGGCACCTATTATTGAGGGTACCCAAAACGGGCCACTAATTTTGACAAGCACCCATATTATCTCAAGACCCTGCACCCCAAACCGATGGTGCTTGGGCCCGGGCCGCACCAGGTGAACAAAGCATGGGTCCCTAGAGATCCGTAGAGCGTTGGGGAAGCTCAGTCGCAAGCACACCTATCTCGCCGATTCGCTTAAACCCCAAACATCCCCCGGCTCCCTAAACCCTAAACCATACACCCTAAACCTAAACCCTAAATAACCCTAAACCCTACACCCTAAACCCTACACCCTAAACCGGGCACTACTGAGGTCTCCTCTTCGAGAAAGGCACCCTTCTCGGCCAGATGCTGAGTTCTTCCACAAATCTCCGAAAGGACCTGGGCTTCCGGCTTTTTGAGGGTGTAATACAGGGGCCTTAATAGTATAGGGTTTCGGGACCATTCTACTATAGTTGTAATAAGGAACTCCCCAAAATAGTATTGGTAGTTACTTAAGCCCCTCTTTTGTGGTTTTTAAGGCTTCAGGGCGTTACGTTTAAAGCTTTCAGGGCTTGGGGCGTTTAGGGCTTTGGGCTTCCAGGGTCAGGGCTTTAGGGTTCGGGCTTGGGGGCATACTTGGAAGGGCAGGGGACTTAGTAAGTAGGTTATAAGTAGAGTTATAAGTACCCTAATTGGAATTACCCCAATTACAACCCTACTTATAACCTACCTACTAAGTCCCCTGCCCCTCCAAGTACGCCTTTTGTTGTTTTGAGCTCCTTTTCTGCGTAGCCTGGAAGGTCTGCGCGAGGCCGAGAAGGCCAGGACGGCATAGGGCTTTTGGGGGTTTAGGGTTCTAGGCTAGGGTTAGGCTAATGTAGGCTGAATGGCTACTCGTTCGGATTTGAGGCAGCACCAGCGTTTAAGGATTCCATGGGATCTGGCAGGTTGAGGATTTTTTCCCACCCGCCCAGCTGACAATGTCGCACCGCAGGGAGCTCGTCTTAAGGCTTAGGGTTTAGGCTTGAGTCCAGCAGGCAAAGCTTAGTCTCAGCTATGCTGACAGGAGTTTAAGAGAAACAGAAGCCACCCATGGCCCTCCCTCCCAAGTATGCCAACGGGGGGTGGTAGCCGCTTGGTTTTTGGGCTTAGGGTTTCATCAGGCTTTGAGCGCTGGGTTGAGGGTCCCTTGCGGTTCAGAGTAGCTTGAACTTTGGAGTTCGGAGTCCCTTTTGGAGTTCGGAGTCCCTTGCTTCAGGATGTAGGGCTTGCTTTGGGGCATCTGGCTACGGATTGAAGCTCCGCTATCTTGTACCGAGAATGCGACATAGTATGCTACCGGGCACTACATTTGTAGGGCGGGTTCCAAACCTGTTGCTGCAGATACTAATTACGCCGTAAATCGGAGCTGGAACAAAGGAGTATGTCTGCTGTGGCAGTGGGGCTTGACCATTTGACAGTCATGGCCAGATCTTCATAAAACCGGTCGACGCTGCCCTGCTATCGATCAACGCAGCTGCTACGGAGCATGGTAGCCCCTCACGGACGTCGTCCGCCGACATCGTGAATATGAGCTGATCCCACAATCGGCTGGCACGGGGAAGCTGAGCTTCCGTGGGGCGGCTGAATGACACAAGGCACACCATGTAGATTGCGAGCCAAAAGCAGGTGGCTGTCTTGATCAACCAGTGAGTGTTGGTGTCCAGCGCTGCCGTAGCAAACTGACCAGACTTCACCGTGGGAGCATCTTAACAGATGTTGTACAAGAGACGATGTCCATTCACCTGTACATCACACACCCTGGCAGACGGCATCCACCCTGAAGAACCCCGAAACGAACCTAGAGCTTTTGAACTCTCAACAGTTCCTCACACCGGACAAGAATGATCCCACAAATGTCTCAGCACAGAAGCCGCCGGAGCGACCCAACTGTCTGTCAACCGAATCGCAGCTTTTGAGAAAGAAAGGCAAACGAACCCACATCGTAGAAATGGTCTGCAGTGGTCAAGAACAAAGCCCTAAACACTACAGCTTGAACCTTGCGTTCTTAACACCGAACACTATAAATTGAAACCTCAAGCCTCACTGGAACCTCCCACACCCAATGCTTCGAACTTCACCGAACGGCCTGAAGTTGTCATGCGAATCCTCGGAACCCACAACCGAAGCAGGATAGACTTTTACATTAGGAGCTGCCCCCACCCTGTAATAGTGGTATAATTGGACTATAATCGGGCCTTACTATAATCCTTATAGTCACTATTCCATGGTGGGGGCAGCTTCTAACTTCTACATCCGACCTTAAATCCTGTTGACGCGCTAGGACCGCAACACCACGTAACCCTAGCTTCAGATTCCTTGAGCCCGGAACTCAAAACTCTGGATCCATGACGTTTTTTGTCAAGGCACTAAAGAACCAATTCCGCAAACTCCCAAATCCTAACAAAGCTGACCTAGATAAACAGAGAGAAAAAGCGATACATGTACATACAGACATATATGTATGTGTGTACATACAGACATATGTATATATATATATATATACAGACATAGACAGATGTACATGCATGCATGGGTGCGTGGGTGGATGGATGGATGGATGAAACCGCAAGCCTCTTCCGAAGCAGTGCAGCCGATCAGCTGGATTGTCGCGGACGCGGAGGAGAGCGTAGGCCTTCGCCGCTACCGGATTTCTGGAGTTTTGTGCGAGGCGCTTTTGGGCTTAGGAGTCTTCGCGACGGTGTTGGGGTTTACATAGGGCTTTGGAGTTTTTAGAGCTGTTGCGAGGGTTCTGGGGCTTGCAGGAGGAGGGTCTTCGGCTCAAGAGTTCAACAGGTTCTCAATCGGGCCTGGGAATTGGGTTTTCGGAGGGTTCTAGAGTTTAGGGTTTCAGGGCTTTTGGGCTTCATTACTTTTTTCATGTAGGAGCCTTAGTGATTCAAGCAAGGTTTGATCGGGTCTGGAGCTCCCGGGCCGATCCAGTCGAGCCACAAGATCTTCAGGGTTTAGGCGTTTCTTTAAGGTGCAGGGTTTGGGGTTTCAGCACTCACACTCGGACAAGCCTTGGCGAGGTTCCCTGGTCCCACGACAGGCACATGTGGCCCAAGCCATCATACATTGACGACAGCAAACATTATCCGCGCTACGATCAACCTCAACCTGCATCCTGCAGCTATTCGCATCATCCTCAAACTGTGAACTCATCAACACAGAAATCACGGCATCCTCAGTCCAGTTGGCCCCACTGGCAAAATGCCATACATGCAGCAACACATGCACACAAATTCCCAATCCATTCATGCTCGTTGGACGCCCAAATGTCCAGACCGTTGCCACTTGCTGATGAGGGCTCGACAGCTTCATGCAGTTGCACATGCATTCAAATTCTCAAATTCCGTTCATGCGCGTTGTACGTCTAAGCGTCCAGACTGGTACGTTCCTCTGGTTGTAGGCTCGACAGCGATGCAAGGAAAAACGGCCCAGCATCGGCACTCCAGTCAGTAGACACCACAGGGCAGAGGCCCTTCACGCTGTATCGTATGCATCCAAATTCAATGCATCACCCAGATTGCTGCAGTCAGTTTGGTGTAAGCCGTGGTATGCAGAAAGCATAGCCCAAATTCCATGCATGCACAACGAAGGCTCTGTGCTTCCAGACTCGCGTTCAGTGGAGCATGTATTCGGCTGCCAGACATACATCAGTGCAGCATAACAGACTCCATCATCTCGGCCGGGCATCTCCCAAGAATACGTTTTGCGTCCGCGGTGTCAGCTATGGGACATACATCAGGGGCAGCATAACCAGAACAGCCCATCATTGGTCTCTCCGTGGGGAATCCAAGGAGACACACAATAATGAGTGGCATCAAAGCAGTCCCAGTGGTCAGAGCAGTCGTCTAGTCGTCGCGCCAGGGGCCGAAACAGCATTTAGAGCGTGGCATCGTCTGCCATCACAAGCCAGCCAGGACCCAGAGGTGCGAGCAGAAAACTGGCAGTTGTGAGCCATGGCAGAAGCGCCGCGGGCTAGGGCTACCTAGACCCCGAATAGGGAGGGTTGGAGGAGAACCCACAACACGAACGAGAACGCGGGAATGACGGGGCCGGAAAGACCCTCCAAACCCCTGCTTTGGCGTGGTTCCCGGCAGCACTGCCCTGTTTGTGCCCGTCCCCCGATCGCGGTGGTGATGCGGAGCATGAAGATCCTGTCAGGCTTCAGTGTGTTTGTAGGGCAACGGGAGTAGCAGTGGGCTCGCTTCTGGTTCGGCAACAATGCCACTCAGAAACGACAAGACGCTTGGCTTGGAGCTAAGGAACAGCAGGGCATATGACAGTGCAGGCATGTATTGACACTAGAGGGGAGGGTATGGCTATGTACGCTGCAACAAGACGCTGGGGCTATGGTGTAACAAGACTCCATGACCTAGGGAGGAAGGGAGCGGGGGGGGGGGGGGGGGAAAGGGGGGAGAGGGCAAAGGGAGAGGGGTGGTTGTGGGTTTGTGTGGGGTCGTCCAAGAAGACACTCGAAGCGGCATTTCTTCTGCTTGGCTGTGGATGCTCGGTACTGTTGCAAAAGACGACCTATGATCATTCCCAAATTCGCAGGCTTAAATTCATATTCTTGAATTCAATGCAGGCATGCTGAAAATTCGATG